TTGCCAATCCACCTGCTGTATTGTTTTCTGATTATGAAGTTGGCCATGTTTATGAGGTTAGAACTTGCTTCTTTGTAGAGGATTAGTTCTACCACTGAGAAGCATCACGTCCTGCCATGATCAGGACTTCACTCACTTTTGGCTTTCTGCAGTTTAACAAAAGTCTGAGTTTCTTCTTTATATTGAATTAATGACCATTTAGCTTCCTTCAAGATACCCTTTCACACATGCGACTGACACACTAACTAGTGAAAACCAAAAGGGGCCCTTTTCAATTTCTGCTTGGTTTTGGTAGTATCTGATTCAGACTTTATTGAATAAACTGAGATTTTTAGGCCAGTTGTGATGATAAAGTAACTACTACTAGCAGACTACTAGGGAACATTATAATGACTTATGAAAAATACAACAGAGTATTTTATTTTCTTTTTAAATGAAGATGATTATAGAGCTGCAGAACATCACTTCAACATGTCATCATGTAAGACTTATCCCCCCCTCTACTTCAGCATTTGCCATTGGGCCAGGTAAGGGTTATTTTTTCTGCCTTTAAGATGTTAACACATAAGACATCCAATTTATCTGCTTGAATAAATATTTTTCAGAGACGTTATGTTTGGTTCCGCTACTCATAGTGCTCTTGGTAGGAGCTCAGTTCTTTAGAGACTGAAGGCTGTAATGTTAAAATGTTCGAAGTTAGATTGTAATATATCCATGGATTACCTAGATTAAGCTTTATCCAAAATTTATTCAGGAACAGACGTAGTGCCCATTGAAATCAGTAGGGGGAGACTGCAAGAAATAGCATACTTCAATTGCTGCAAGGAAGGTTAGGTTAGAGGAAAGGTAAGAAAAACATTTTTCCTATAATAGTATAGCCAGGCACTGGCATAGATTGCTTAAGGAGATTGTGGTATCTCAGTCACAGCATTGGAGGAGTATTTAGAAGAAGTTAGGTCCCTCCATGTAAACCTTGTCTTGTGGCAGAGGAAAAATTGGTAATGTCTCTAGGTTTCTCCTCACTCTGTTTTCTATAGTTATGAGCATATTTCAGAAAAAAAAATCTTTGAGTTCAGTGGAAGGTATGCATGTACACAGAGTACACTGGCAGGCCTTTTGTGGTCATTCGTTTTTATCAACTTGACTTAGGCAATACATGAGGAGGGCTTACAGGCACCTTTCCAGAGGGAGATGTGATCATAAATACATATGCCAACTTTGTGAGGTTTTAATTTTTTTAATTCCCTGCATTTTTTTTTCCAAGGAAAATTTCCAGGAAAGGGAGGAATGATTGCTCCTGGGATGACATGCCAGTATACAGTCCAATTTATTCCTGAATCTCTAGGAGATTATGAAGATTGTATATTAGTGGAGACTCAAGTATCAGAACCTCTTCTGATCCCGATCCTAGCTAAAAGACCACCTCCAGTGTTAACATGTCAGTAATGTCCAGTTCTTAAGTTTCTCTAAAGTTAAGTGGACTTGGGTTTTTTTTCATTTGACTGTCTCCAATTTTATGTCACAAAACAAATGTGGACAAACTTGGCAGTGCAGTTTCTACATTTTTATATCCATCTCATTTTCACTGATAATAGATTTATTACTTACCAAAACGTGATCCTGTCAAATTCTTCCTGAATTATTTTTTCTTGCCACATCAAGCTGATTTTTTTCACTGTATTGGAGGATTGAGCAGGAGACGCTTTTCTAGGTTTGGGTCTTGTCAATTCCTGAACTATTAACTGTAATTACCAATCCTAAATATTAAGGAATTATGATTTAGTTATAAATATTTGATGCTATTAATTAATATTCATAGACTGTTATATTAATTATGTATGGATATGACATCTGCAGGATTCACCTCTCTGATATCTAGCCTCAACTGTAACAACCAGGATTACTTTTGCAGAAACTTGCTTTCATTTATTGTAAATTCACTTTTTCTGTCGTACTGAGGTTTTTTAAAGATCATCTTACTTTTTGTCGTCATTCAATGGAGTCTTTAAGTAGGAAACATCATGCAGCTTACACTCTAACTTTTAAATGGAAAGAATTTAAGATTTTTTAGGATTGCAACACCTAGCATATTCATATGCAGTAATGTCATCTTTAATGAGCTATTTAAGAACTGGCGTTGCCAACTGCTAGCCTTCAATGTCTGTGTAGTCTGATTTTCTGTGTTGCTCATTGCAGTGCCTCGCATTATAGACTGTGGTTCCTGCCTTGTTGGAGGAATAAAAGTAACGATGATTTTGTGCAGAAATGAGGGATTTAGCACTGGAAAGTTCTGTATAATGCCAAAGAAAGCCTGGCCACCTCCTTATTTCAGGGTGAGTGATTAGAAGGGAAATACTGGACATGGTATGGTATAGATGGCCTGACAGTAAGGTGTTTAATCTAGTCATGGTATAGAATCATAGAATAGTTTGGTTTGAAAGGGACCTTTAAAGGCCATCTAGTTCAACCTCCCCTGCAATGCGCAGGGACATCTTCAACTAGATCAGGTTGCTCAGAGCCCCGTCCAACCTGACCTTGAATGTTTCCAGGGATGGGGCATCTACCACCTCTCTGGGCAACCCGTGCCAATGTTTCACCACCCTCATTGTAAAAAAATTCTTCCTTATATCTAGTCAAAATCTACCCTCCTTTAGTTTAAAACCATTACCCCTTGTTCTATGGCAACAGGCCCTGCTAAAAAGTCTGTCCCTGTCTTTCTTGTAAGCCCCTTTCAAGTGCTGAAACGCCACAATAAGGTCTCCCCAAAACATTCCCTTCTCCAGGTTGAATAACCCCAAATCTCTCAGCCTGTCCTCATAGGAGAGGTGTTCCAGCCTTCTGATCATTTTTGTGGCCCTCCTCTGGACCCACTCCAACGTGTCCATGTTGTGTGTATTAGGACAGAAGTCATAAGGCCTTTCTGGGGACATCTGTATTGTCCCATTCCCTCGGGGATTCCCGTTTATCCTTGAGACCAATCTCCCTGTACGTCCATACCTCCTGCTTGTGCTCCGGCTTGCCTCTGGAAGAAGTTGTCTTGCTTGGTGGTGAGGTAAACTCAGGCATAGATCAGGGAAAAGACAACTGGCTTGAACTTTAATCTTACCCTTAAAGCAAATAGAGATACAATCAGTTCTAGCATTGCTTGAGCTAATTTCCTCCCCCACCACACCAAAGATGTCACCTACTGACCTTGCTGCACTTGTATACCCTAGCAGTCTACTCCAGTACTGCTCTGTCTTTAGCTTTCCATCACAAAACAGGGTCTAAGTGAAATGCACAAAGAAGATAAGGTGTGACTGGTAGACTGGCATTTTATGTGCTGGAGAAAAGGCTAATGATATAGTTAATGTGCAAGGTTGTCCCTCCTGAAACACTTCACAGTTCCAACTCAAAGTGAGTCATAAGCATGGAGAAGCAGACAGAGCTCCTATGCTCAGGCATAGCTATTCTTCTGTGAAAATGAATATTAGTACTCCTGACACTATCATTTGTCTTTGGAGACAGCATCTTTCCTCCTGCTTTCACCAAGGTAATTATAAAGCATGGCTCATTTCTTCTCATTAAGCTGTGTACTTAAGCCACATACTTTTGACATGTGTGGAAAAAAAAAAGTATGGTAAGAGATAGAACAATGATGTAGTAGTATACCACCTGTTTTAGGTAACCCTGATCAATTTTGACATCTTTCTTTTTTTTAACACCTTAGGCTGTTGCCACTGTTGGTTTTGTGATACAAGATCCTTTTGGGATCCGTCCGGCTGTTTTTGAGCTAGCTCCAGGGCAGAGTACAACAGTAGAGGTTAGTACCAACTACTATAGAAAGTATTTGTACTTTACCAAATACATTAGCAAACAAGAATATTTTAGAAGATCTTAGTTACGAATTTGGGTTTGTGTGAGGAAAAATGCTCACATCCATTTGTGCAATTATGCTGGAAGAATTGTAGTTGTGGGTCTTAATGGAGAGTCTTTCATTGCAACTTCCAAGCCTCGCTTACCCGCTCAGAGATCAGTCAGATTTTCCCCACGCAAATAATCCTGTTAAAGAAAACAGGAATCTGAGAACACAGGAGTCTTTATTTCACTCCAGCTGGGGAGTCAAGTCCAAGAAACTTTTCCTTTCTGAGATTCCTAGGAAAAAAAGGACATTTTGTGAAAAAAAAAAAAAAAAATAAATCTTTCGTTGTAGAGGAGCAGCTACAAATCCTTCACTTATGCTGTGCTCTTTCCTGAAAAATATCCTGCAGTAAGTGTGCATTACTGGTAGCCACCACTGCTTTTTCTAACGTGGGCCACATTTTATTATAGCATCACCAAGGGGAGAGAAAGAGTGATGGGGAGAGTACAGCTAACCTCCAGCCCTTCCTTCCTCCATACCTCCTGGCTGTTGATAAGAGGAGTGGCTCAGGCAGGTGTGGATAAAGGAGAAACATTTCTCCTCCTTTCTGTCTCCTCAGGTGCATTGCTTCAGCAGGGCCAGGCACATGTGGGAGAGAAAGAGGAGATGGATTTAGCATGGGTTGGGTTTGCAGGCAGTAACGCATAAGAGATAGAATAACCATGGGGCATATTACACAGCCGAAGGTTTTGGCCCGTGGACCAGTTTTGTGGAGGTAGAGCTTAGGGAAGACACACAGCAGCTGCTCTGCTCACACTGTTGTAGCTTGACAGGCGTTGCTCAGTAAAGTGACTGAGGGCAGATGAGATTTTGAGGGTACAGTTCATACAATTAACCCAGCAGACTGCTCACATCTCCAGTGAGTGCAAAGGCAGCCTCTGGTGACCATACAGATACACACATGTAAGTTTAGTGAACCAGAAAACACCTATTTCTTTCTGGCCTGTATTAAGGGAATGTGATGCTTTCTGTTTCTTGCAAATGTAAGATTTTATTACTAATCACCAGTACTGTCTTTTAGTGAATGTTTATGAATTGAAGTTTATTACTTCTTGGAGAGAAATCAGTTACCAGATATCACTATTTCACTTCTCTCTTTCAGGTAGTGTTTTTCCCTTCTTTTCCAGAAATCTCACAGCAAACATACACCATTGTTTGTGACAATTGCCAAGTCAATGATGTTACAGTCACAGGTTTGTTTCTAACACATTTCAGAGATCACATTTCTAACACTGTAGATGTTCAAATAACGTGAGTGGTGGTTGATGGCTTAAACTGATGGTAAGATTTTACGTCACTGGATTAAGCAAATACTTTGTCCCCCAATGGTGTTAAATGCTAAGCATTTTTATTATTATAATATTATATTATTATTATAATTAAGGCCAAGTGCAAAGTCCTACAGCTGGGTCGGGGCAATCCCAAGCACAAATACAGGCTCAGCGGGGAATGGCTGGAGAGCAGCCCTGAGGATAAGGACCTGGGTGTGCTGATTGCTATGACCATCCAACTCTTTCACCATTTCATTCTGGAAAAGAAAATATTATCTTTGTCTTTACAATGATTTTTCCCCCCCCTCAAAGGAATATCCCATTTCATTCTAGCTATCCAACCCCCGTATTCACTGGTGGTTTACTTGTATAGCTCAGCAATTTAATTTAAACAACTATTTTAGTCCCTAGGACATTTCATAATGAAAGGAACAATGAACAACTTAAGCAAGTAAAAAGATGGATGCAATAGAAAGAAATAAAATAAAAAAAAGTATTGCTCTAACTTACAATTACCTGCTGGTCAGGTGAGATTGACTCAAGTGCTTTCTGAATAACACGACAACCATACATCTGCAGGGCTAACGGCAGAACATCCAGAGAGGTTGTTGAGGCCCCATCCCTGGAGGTGTTCAAGGCCAGGCTGGACGTGGCCTTGGGCAACCTGGTCTAGTCGGAGGTGTCCCTGTCTATGGTAGGGGGGTTGGAACTCGATGATTTTCAAGGTCCTTTCCAACCTAAACCATTCTATGATTCTATGATTATCACTACTCCATCTCCGTGTATGAAATACATGGGATTCAGAAAACACTGAGTTCTTAACCCACTGTAGCCAGAAATCCAAAAGTAAAGTGTCACCAAGTAGCAGAAAAGAACACCTGTAGTCAGATGCAATTCATTTCTTAAGCTTTTGTATCAATAAGATTACATGACAAACTATAAAACTTCAGCTTGAACAGGGCAGAAATACATTTGTGTGTGAGGCAAACTTAGGGCACATCTTGGATTAGGGTATTCTGGAGAGACAGGCAGGTTTTGGATTAGCTAATGAAACCAGTTGAAGTTCTTGTAAATGTTAGTGCTTGTCCTGTAATGTAATTGCGAATGCTATAACATTAGGCTTGACTTGTAGTCTATGCAATCACTTTATTACAGACATTTCCTTTGGAAATTTTTGAATAGTGCATTTGCTGCTTACTTTTATTTTAATATACTGCTCAAAACATCTGGGAGCCACTTTATCAACCATTGCAAGCATTCTGCGCACTTCAGTGAAATGATGCTGATGTAAGTGAGCTGAGGTTGTGGCCCTGAAATACAAATCTGTTAAATTCATGAAGAGAAGATCTCTATTGATATACATTGACAAACAAAGAACATGAGGAAAATATTGTACAATTAACACATTGGAGTTCTGAAACTTGAGGAAACACCAGATGTAATCAGTAATAGCCATTACTGGCATTTGCTGTTAATGAGTAATATGAACAATGTTAATAGCCAGAGGGTAAACAGTAACACCTACTTATTTTTTCAAGGGGCTGGACAGCTGATAGCTCTGGAGCTTTTGTTCGTCACAGGTGGAGAAAGCAAACCTGAACTCGGTGAAGTTACTGATGTAACAGCACAGCATCTCATACGATTTGACCCCCAAAACCCACACACCACCGAGGAGAAGAAATTGGTTATAAGAAACTCTACGTACGTAGCTACTATTAATAGAGTAATGCTCTGCAGTCTGAACATACTGGTGGGGATCTCGTTTGTGATACCATCCTCTGTCAAGCTGGAGAAACCTTCATGCACTTGATAAACTTTGTGCAGAAGCCTTACTTCTTTTTCCTCCATTGTTTTGTAATTAAGGTTCGGGGATATGGTTGTAAGAGCAGGAACATTATATATAGTTCATACACTGCCATGGTCAATATATTTGCCTCAGTATAGATATATCTACAACTGCAAAAGATTCATAAATATGGATAGTTGCAGGAAATATTTAACGGGGTCATCAAGATGGGATTTATCTAACTTTACATGTCTGCAATGTATACTTGCGCAACTGAGCTAATCGCTTTGTACTCTTTTCCTTTCATAGTGCAAGGAAATAGATGCTTTTAAGGATGCTTGGATATAGAAAGTGTGATTCAGTGAACTGGATACTGTAAACTGATGAAGGATGTGACTATGCCAGTTTACACATTTTCTCTGTTTTATAATCCTGACAGCAGTCTCTGCACATCTGGTGTCAGCGTTTGTATGAAACAAAGGTGAACAGGCTGAGACTGAACTCCACAGAAGCAGGAAAGAGAGAACTTTCTAGTGTTAGAGAAAGCAATACAAGAAATTGTACATGTTCAGTTTTATGTCATTGATACTCACTTTCAAATTCCAGTGTTCTTCCTCCGCTTAGTAAGGCAAAGCTTTTGAGGTCAGTAGGAGCAAGGTTTTAAAACCCATGAACGCATTCCATGGAATACTATTCTGCTGAAGCAACCCATTTAAGCAACCTTTCCTGGATTATGAAGAGTATTGCAGAGCCATTGCTATAATCTTAGCTGGAGCCCCTGTGTTTCTTGATATGTTAAAGACCACAGCTTGCACTTGGATTAAACTCAGAATGTTATGTAGATCATCAGCAGTGATCCAATGCAAACATACTGATATCAGCAGGAATTGTCCTCTTGAACTCAGATTCTTGAAAAAAGAATTGTAGAATTTCCTAGAAGCTGCATTACATGACAAGTTAAATAAGGCAAGAAAGTGTTAATATATCTTACATATTTATATAATTTACTTCTATATGTTACCTTGTTCTTTGTACAATTTATCTACTCTGACTCTATGCTGCCTCATCAGCTTTGTAGCTTGCAAAAACTGGTATGTCTAGCCCTTGTAATTTTTAAGGAGAGGAATTCCCTACATGGAAAAAGGAACTGAAAATTTTCTCACAATATCTTACTCAAAAATGTCAAATTTTTTTCATTATAGCTTTTTGTTGTTTGTTGATCTCTTCGCAGACACGTAGAACTTCCTTTCTACTGGCAGATAATAAAACCTAATCTGAAACCATTAATACCAGAAGAAACTGCAGACTTTACGAAGCTCAAATACAATCGAGACACAGAGTCAGCGTTCTCCCTAAATCCTGAGCAGGGAGTTTTGCTTCCCCATGCTGATCATGAGTTTATTCTCACTTACAGTCCACAGGAGGTATGGCTTGTGATTCCCTCCTATCTACAAACTCCAGCTGTGTATTTTTATGCAAGTCATAAAATCCTTGCTGTGCTGCTTTCTAAATTTAATTAGCCGGTACTATGCTCTGATAAACAGTGTTCAAAATGTAAAAAGTTACTAAAAGAAAACATGTTTTGACTACAAAATATGAGACAGTTCCTGATCTCATGTCATTTTTGGTACTGATTGGACACAATTAAGTTTACACTGAAACTGTGGACACGTCCTCATAGCTGCAGCTGTGCTGGCTGGTGAAGTTACCATTCTCACATTCCCAGCTCCTCCACAATCCCCTGACCTTTCCCATCTGCTGAGCGAGCTGCTTTAGGGATGTGCCCCATACCTGCTGGAGCCTAAATAAGTTTGGTTAGCAAACAGTGATTATTTAAACTGTTTCCAAGTGTAGTTTTTTGGGGCTGAAATGTGTCCTATGAACAGCTGTGTGGTAAATTAAGGGGGTAGTAGCCGCCTTTGGCAGAGAAATGATGGTATGCAGCTGTGCATAAAGAGGGGTGCAACAATGTTTGAATGCAGCTGTACCAGTGACTGCTGTCCTAGTATCAGCTCTGCCGTTCGTGTAAATAAAGAGTATGAGCTCACTGTATTTAAAGAAATTCGATCTAAAGTAAGCTCAAGAGTGGGAATATCCCATGCTGTGCTGATTGACAGACACAGGAATACCTGAAATAAGCGTGGAAGAGAAACTAACTGGGTTTTTAAAATACTTAATTAGTTAATAGAAAGATATATTAATGATGTTTTAAAGATTTTAATTTGTTAACAAAAACATATTAAATTAATATATGCACTTAAATTAATATCTTTCTATAAACAAGCGAAGCCTTTCAAGTTTAAGGCCTGCTTCTGTGTTTCCTTTTTTTTTCTCCATTAGAATATAGAAGGCATCCTCTTTTCCCATGACAGAAAAGTAGTGGGTTTTACTTAAAAACAGATTGATGGTCAATTAAGCTAAACACCCTGGAGCGCTTAGAAGAAACTTTAAGTTAGTACAGCAGTACTGATCTTAATTTGGGGAGTCTTTGCAGATGCTTGTGTGTAGTATGCAATATACTAGGGAAATAATAACAGACATGTCAAAAATGAGTATTTTTCTTGGAACTATACACCATGAGATCAGAATCTGGCTTAATGTTTTGCAGTCAAACATGTTTTCTTTTAGGATCTTTAGAGTTTGAATATTGTTTATCAGAGCTTAGAACTCCAATGATGATAGTTCATCCTTTAAATGTAAACTACTTTTTCATCTTTTTAAAATCCTCAACATAATTGATTACTTGACATTAAAATCCTCTCCTTCTTCATCTGTATAGCTGAAGAGTTATCACAGTGTGATTCAGATGGTACTGAGGGACATCCCAGAATCACCTTGGTAAGCTGAGAAACAGTATTTCCTGGTAAGATGTGTACCCACATTTTAGCTATGCTGTTACATTAAGTTGCTGGGATTCTTCATCTTTCTGGTGATGGTGGACTGACAATTATAAAGGATTTTATCTGCAAAACTAATTGTGGTACAAAGAGTCTCTCTGTGATCTTCCTGCATGTCTGAACACATGCCTTAGCCCTAGCTAGGGCTGCATCTCTCTTGGAAAAAATAATACTGTCATTTTGTCTGTTTATTTCCCAGCTGAGATTTCCAGCAGGTTTTCCTGTCATTACTGTTTGTCGCAGCAGTCTATGACTTACATGCTTCTTTGTGAACAGACTGGGACTACTAGAATACACTAAAGAACTACTGTCATTTTTCCAGTTTTTAATTGTCCCCAGCCTGAGCTAACTGCACACAGGCAGTCTGTAGTTGAGACACTTTTGATGATTTTCAGTTTTGATCTGGCAATTAAAAGATGGGATGCAGTTTAAACATGAGTTTAAGATGCTTAATAATTCTACTATATTTCCTCCCAAAGTTTAGTAAAAGAGGGGATGCTTCAAAACATCCCAACATACAAAGCAGAGGATGTAATAGCACTGGAAATAGAAGTTAAAGGATCTACAGAACCAATTCATCTTCTTCTGGAACCGTATGCCGTTATTGTTCCTGGAGAAAACTTTATTGGTGTAAAAGTCAGAAAAACATTTAAGGTTTGTTTGCTTTTGATTTCCTTGTTATCATGTGCTTTGTGTCACTAGATGTCATAGGTGTTATTAGAAGATATCAGACAAACCATGTTATTTTAGTTTTTCTTAAATATTTTGAAAGGAGACTCTGACTCCGGGAGAATCTGTACTGAATTCCCTAGCAAGCCTCCTTAGCCCTACACTCCAGGCAGCAGGCTTTGTTCTTTTTTCATCTCTCAGGTTTGACACCACAGTTTTACCCTTCTAAATGTTTTTCTGGGTCACAAATCTGTTGTTTATCACTTTGTCACTCCTGTATTGTAAAAGTTTTCCAGTTGGGGGGAGTAGCCAATGGATGATTAAATTACTTCATAACAGAGGCACTGTTCATTCAAAGAACTACAGCAAGCACAGAAGAGCTACAGAAGTCACATATGCTGTACCTTGCTAGACCTTATTCTTTCCTGCAGGTTCTGATAATTTCTGTTTGATCATTATGGGACAGACTGCTGCTGCAATTGTTCACTCACACAGTGTCCTCTTCACTATAAATCAGGGTCCTTTTGATCCTTGGGAAAAATAAGCCTGTTAGCAAGAGCCAGGCAGGGAGACATTTCCTAGTTAATGGTCTTCCCATTTTTCCTTGAAGATACTGATAAATCAGCGTTTAGTTTTATGCTTTTTCTTCCTAGAAGTACTTTTTCAGCTTAAGACAGCCATTTCATACTTTCCAGTAATCCAGTATAGCTGAAGGTGTGGTATGGGTAGTTAAGTCACTTAATAATAATATAATTCCATTCCTCACACTTTCCAATTGTTTTTCCTAGTCTTAAAAATATAAGAATTTGAACTGTGCTTAATGATAATTGTGCTTCAAAGAACAAAGTTATTTGCTGCAATTAAGAAATAATGTCTGAATAGGTCTGCAGAGCAGGCCAAAGATTTCAAGAGCTTGCATCTCCCTCACAAACAGATCCTTTGGCAAACACATCCTGCTCTCAAAAGAAGGATTTGAAGTTTAAGCTTTGAAGGTTTGTAACATTTTTGAAAAATGGGGGGAAAGTGTAAAAGGTTTCAAATATAATAAAGAATGGTTAATGGATTTTCTTTAAGTTTCAGAAAATACCTTCACTAGTGTGAAGGTAGCCACTGAGTTCATCTGACTAAATACAGTGCTTTCAGCATAGATCTCCACATCTGAGCTACCTGCTCTAAGCCTTCCTTAGAGTCCTTGGAGATCTGGTTGGCATCGTCCAGGGGGTGATTCATCTCATCCCACAGGCTAAAATAGGTCAGAGGAATTGCTCCCAGCACTGTCTAATTGGCTCTGTTTTCAGAAAAGAAAATTCCTAGGAGATGAGGTCAGATGTAGAGCTCTTATCTATTTTGCAGACATCTGAAATCCAGTCAGGTGAATCCTACTTCTTCTTGTCCTTTTTTTAAATCACAGAGGAGAAAGGAAAGGGAGGACACAGGGTTATCATGAAAATAACAGTAGTTAATGCATGGCATTGGATTAGTACTGTTCGAGTCAGAGGTTAGATGAAGTTCTGTGCCTTTCCACTCTTACTGTGCTCAGTTTTTTTCAAGATTCAGGTGATGATACAGTATGTTGTAGCTAGATTCAAGGTATATTAGTAGGTTGTAACATTTAGTGATGATCAGGATATGGTTAGATTTTGCACAGTATGTGATGTAAGACTTGCAATACCTAGTTTGCAGTGCATCAGTACTCTCAGCAAATTGGCTTGTTGCTATGAAAGCGTAAAGTGCATTAATTGTCTCATTAATTTTAATTGTTTTAGATGTGGAATAACAGCAAATCACGGATCAAGTACACATGGGAGAGAGCCATACCCTGTGACATCATGGAAGTCGAACCTCATACTGGCATCATAGGTAAATTTTCTGTGATTTGCAAGCATCAATTAATGACAGAAATATTTAAATTGGTATGAGTGGAAGAGAAAAGTCACAGAGCGCTGTAATGCAATCTGCAAAACAAGACCCGATCCCCAGCCCACCAGAGCCAGCAGGAGACTTAATTTGCTTCCACGACCTTAAATAACAGGCTTGCAGCAGGCAGTTTCTTTGCAAAAGGGTGAGACAGGACCCTGAATTTTTCTTTTCTAGATATGAACAAATGCTGTGAATTTGAACTGGCAATTACTGGAAGCAAACCTGGGTGCATCAGCCGTAACCTGCAGTGTGAAATTGAACACTGCCCAGAGCCAGTTGTGCTGCACGTTGAGGCTGCTTTTAAGGTAAGGAACGTTATGCGTTGCAGGATGACTAGCTGTGGGGCCTGGCCACTCTCCATATAAAGCTTTTTGTCTCTCAAAGGCGTGACAAATCTAAAGCAGTTGCAAACAGGAGGTATTTTTGCTGTTTAGTAACTATTGAGGCAATGTTGATACTCCCATGACAATAAGATTTTTTCTGCATTACACGCAATGCGTTTGCTTTCTCCTATTCTCTGTGAAATTGAATGTTAATCTTAGATAATGTATGCTTCTTAATTAGGCAGGATTGGCAGAAGTGTCCATTCTGACATCTGTTTCCTGGTGTCCTAGGGTCCACTTCTTTGTATTGATGCTCCATCACTCCAGTTTGGTTTGACTAAGCAGGGTGAGAGCATGCTAAGAACCTTTGAGATTAAAAATCTGTGTCAGCTGCCGGCACAATGGAGAATGCAAGAAAGTCAGGTTTGTCTCGCTGAAAGGAATGAAGAGGTAAGTCACTGCTATACCTGGCTATGCTCCCTCTTTAGCCAATTCTTCCTTATGCTTAGGACTTGTAATGTTTATTCCAGATATCAAAAGTTCTAATTCCTGTGACTTCTTATGAAATTGAGGAGGAACTTCTTTACTTTGAGGGTAGTGGAGCACTGGAACAGGCTGCCCAGAGAGGTTGTGGAGTCTCCCACTCTGGAGACATTCAAAACCCGCCTGGACACCGTCCTGTGCAACCTGTTGTAGGTGACCCTGCTCTGGCAGGGGGGTTGGACTAGATGATCTCCAGAGGTCCCTTCCAACCCTGACCATCCTGTGATTCTGTGGTTCTGCCCAGTTCCGTAAGTGCACAAGTTCTTTTGAGATTAAATGCTGCTTTGCAATTTTTCTCTATTTTCGTTTATTACAAATCCCCTGCCAGCCTGATCCAAAGAGACATGGAGTATTTCCTGTATGACAGGAACTAGATCAGCTGCTGCTGATACAAATAAGAGGGTAAGACTTTATCAGAACTGAGGCTGCTAAACACTCCTCCCACACACCCACATCAGCATCTCGGACAAGAATCTCAGCGCCTACTGGATCGGGCCTTTTTGCTTTAAACAATAGCTTTGAAACACACAGGTGTGTCCCAAAATAACTTTTGTCCACAATGAATACTGAAACTATTGTTTAGTATTATCTAGACTGTGATGCATCAAATGCAGTCCATTCCAGTCTTTGACTTCAGAGCTCATTCCAGCATTTCACGTGAAATAACTAAAGCAGCTTGGAGGTAATACTGGTGGCAAAGATTTGAGTGGGAGCTGTTATCTGCAGACCATCACATATTCCTAACGTTACAAAAAAAAAAAAAAAAAAAAAAGAAAGAAAAAGAAAAGGAAGGCAAAACACTTATTTTGATTATTTGTGGCACACAGTGGGCTTTGTACCTAGATTTATCCTTGGTGTTATTCATTAAAGGGAAGTGAGGAAATCCGGACTCTGGGGTAAGTGCTTTTTGTTGTAATGAAAGGCCAAATTCTTCCTGTAGGCCTCTTTACATAAATGCAAGGAATTGAGTTGTTTCATGGCAAAATTGGTCTAAATGCTGCTCAGATGTTCTGTTTTTCTGGACAGACTGTCAGTTTTGGAATGAAGAGCGGAGTTGTTAAGCAGGAACTTTCCATTGACCATCAGGAGATGGAAGCCTGTGAGAAGTTGTACTGTATCCCCACAAGTTCTTGAGCCTTGTCATCCCAGAGCTCATTCATATACCAGTGAAGATTGTAGATCAAGTGCTCCATTCCCCCTGCACAAGAGCTACCCCTTTCCTTTCCTGAACCTCTCCAGCCCCCGTCCCACACTGATGCTCTTTCTGACTCCTCCAGCCCCTCTTTCTTTGTCTTCTGTCCAAGAATCTCTCCAATTTGTGGCACTTCACATAGCTGCTGCTCAGCCCCTCCACTTGGGAGGAGAAACTGCTGCTGACTGCCGCTCCTTCACATTCCCCCTCACTCCAAGCACAGGCATCCCTGTTATGCCCTTGGCTCTGACTACCCTTCTGCTAGGTCATTGCCTTTTTATTACCTGTCCCCATAGAAGGAGAACTGTGCTTACTGAAATCAGCCCAGGTGGGACTCCAGGGGCAGAGAGAAATGACATGTCTGAGGGAAAAACTAGGTACCTGCAAGTCCTAATCAGATTGTGTGGCTTCAGCATTTTATACTTGTTTTGCAGGTGTCAAAGAAATTTCTGTTTCTTCTCCCCTCTCCTAGGTATCTCCCTTTACGATCCAACCATCTGCTGGAGAAATACCTCCTTTGGGTATATGCAGTGTGTCAGTTCAGTTCACATCATCGCTGCGCCAGCGCCTCCAGACAGTATTAGAACTAGACGTAGAAAATGGAGAAGGAAGGTAAGGGGGAAAGTGGCGTTCTGCTTTGTTTTTTCCTGAGATTTAAATGTGACTTTCACTTTTGGTAGTTTTATCTCCTAAAACAAAAATATGTAGCAGGAACTCAGAATGGGGTTGTGTAACCTATCAATGAACTATCCAATCACTAATATTGCTAAATAAACATAATCATCATTCTTTCCAGTGTGCTGTTGTATGTCTAGCACATTTCATTAACGATAACAATAGACCATCTGTGTGTTTATTTCCAGTCATCTTCCTGTTTTTGTTGAAGTTCAGACCCCCCAAGTGTGCCTGATATCTAGTCATCTAGTATTCACTGAAATTTATACTGGAGTTCCTGCCAAAGCAACCAGCAAACTTTTTAACCAGACACTGCTGCCAGCAAAATACTTATGGGGAAAGGTAAATGCACTTCTGATAGATGAAGAATACAGCAGGGATGAAATTGTAATTTCTATCAAAATACATACTGCTCTTAAAAGCTTTTCTGATGTATCCGTAGAGTAGTGATTCCTGTTTACTGGCTTATGAGCAGGACTTCAACTTGAGACAAGCCTTGAAAAGATTGTCTACCAGTTGATATTAATGTGCTCTTACTGTCTGTGGGTCATCCCCGGGAGAATGGGTGGGCAGAGATATGACGGGAAATAGGATGTAAGCTACCAGAGTATTAAACAAAGTACTATGGCAGTTTAGGGTTTGCATTTAATTCAGTAGAGCAAAGAAACAATGGTGCTTTTGAATTGTGTCTAAATTTTGCTTAAATTTTACATTCTGAGTGGGATTCAGCTCACAGATTAGGACCCCTAAATTTAATGTTGGTATGTAAGCTATGGTCTGAACTCTTTTCAGTCAATGGAAGTCTGAGCAGGAAGTCAGTTGCTAGAATATGTCTAGTGGCACTGTGGGTGCTGTAGAGCGTTCTTCCTCACCTGCAGGTGTCACTCAAGAAGTGGGGTCTCTTGTAACTCCTGTCACACCAGCCCGCCACACTTGTTTGGCTTGGCTACCCTATTTGCCTGTGTTTAGGCAACTGAATCCTATCTCATCTATACATCGATGGAGTCCAGAGAAGTGTTCAGCTCCCCCTAAAAAGGACACATACTTTGGTCTGCAGAATACTCTCTAGCACATACTAACTGGATGTCTGTTGGCTACAATGGTAGTGTTGATGCCCACTATGCATACAATTAGGTTAATTAGCCTGTAAGCTGAATCCTGCTGTGAAATCTTTGGTCGTTCAGATCTACTCTGACATCCAGGGTTCAGCTCGGTTGCCTACACAAAAGCAGTCAGTGCCACCTGAGATGTCGTTAGGTGCCCAAGACATCCTAGCTGAGCGTGTGGATGATATACGACCTATGGGAAAACGTTTTGGAACAGCTGGAGCCTAGAAGGGATATCCGCAGCATTTTACATGGCATCTGATGTTTGCATGTGAGCAACCGAGTTGAACCACTGGATTCATGCCCATGTGTCAATTAGGGAAGCTGCAAACACCAGGATTGTCTCTGTAGGCCACCTCTGTAGTCAGTGGAGAGATGGCACCTGTAGGGTCCTGCTCCAATATCAGATTGGTTGACTTAACCCTGGAAAGGCTTGTGACTGTGCAAGGGATGACAGTGACTCTGTTCCCAGCCCAGATGCCTTAGTTGGGCACCTGAAATCATTTGGAATAAATGTGACATGGGGATCTTCTCACAGAATCACAGAATGGTTAGGGTTGGAAGGGACCTCTGGAGATCATCTAGTCCAACCCCCCTGCCAGAGCAGGGTCACCTACAGCACGTTGCACAGGACAGCGTCCAGGCGGGTTTTGAATGTCTCCAGAGTGGGAGACTCCACCACCTCTCTGGGGAGCCTGTTCCAGTGCTCCACTACCCTCAAAGTAAAGAAGTTCCTTCTCATGTTAAGATGGAACTTCCTATGTTCAAGTTTATGCCCATTACCCCTCATCCTATCACTGGGCGCCACTGAAAAAAGACTGTTCCCATCCCCCTGGCATCCTCCCTTTAAGTATTTGTAAGTATTAATAAGATCCCCCCTCAATCTTCTTTTCTCTAGACTAAAGAGACCCAAGTTCCTAAGCCTTTCTCCATAGGAGAGATGTGAACCATGGGGGTTCTCAACCATGGGGGAATCGTAAAGCAAGCATCGTCTCAGCAAACTCTATGTGTTGCTACCTAAAAGCGTTCTAAACCTGAGAATAACTCTGTTCTTATAGTCCTCTTTGATCTGAAGAGAAAATCTGAAAGGATCAGTGTTAATGAATTAAGAGAGTTAACTGAATGTCTGTCCTTTCTGTTCGGCAGCTCATTGGAAGCCAGGCAGCTTTCTGCTCCACCACTGTCTCCCCAGCCAGTGGCACCTTAGGCCCAAATGAAGAAAAAGAATTCTGCATAGAGCTGTCAGCTAACATCGTGGTAAGTTTACAAATTTATCAGAACAGCAACACTGGCATTCTCATCTCACCTCCATCTGGCAAAAGGAAGGATTTTTATATACAAAATATTATACTCTCCTTTTTTCGTAGAATATCCCTGAAATTGCTTTGCTTTAGAGGTAACCATGGTTGAAGGCGAGAACTAGATCAGTCCACATGGTGTGCAATTTTCTACCCTGCCTCTTTGTTTCCCAACTGTTCTTGTTTTCTTTCTTTCTGGAACACCTATTCAATTACTCTTAATGCTTATCACTTTTCTTAGAGCATAAAGATGCTCACTTTGGATTATCCCAAATGAAATGTAGCAGACCAGCGTATATAGTTTACATTTGTTTTTCTGAATGCAACTGGGCTCATGACATTTTGATATTTGAAAACTTAAAAGGGGCTGATGGGACTGAGAGTCTGCAAAATAGGGCATAGACTGCAGCGTTAACAAACTTCAGGCATTCAGCCATCGACTTTATAGAGGCATTCAAACAGCTGATTTAATGCAACTAAATAAAAGAGCTTGCTATAGGTGTGGTGTATTAGTTCCCACTATAGTCACTGGAGACCTGAGTTTAATTTATTCACTTAAAAGTAGGTGTTCAGTACTATCAGAGATGCCCCTGAAAATCTCAGATACCCATGTATGTCTGGCATATGTGGCACAAGATCCCAGTAAACTTGAACTTTCTTCATGGAAAACTGGAGGCTCAACAGGACACACTGGGCATCTGAAAGGGCGCTTTTGTGTGTGGCTGGGGAACTGAATGCCATCCGAGCCACCTACAAGAAAGTTTGTCCGCATTGTGGGTGAGCTAAATGCCCAAGTACTATTAATGAATCGGTGGAGATTTAGAGCTCTTATTTGGAGTTCACCTTTATAGATGAACTCAAGGGCTCGCATCTAGACAGTCACATTTAGAACTCTGAATCTGGAGCTGAATCCCATCTATTATTTTATGCAGTGTACACCAATTCATGTATTGATAAGGCAAGAAAGAATAGTAGTGTTGAATTAGCCAGAGTACTGGTGTAACTGGGCCACGTAATTCATCCTACAAGGCCTGTTTTAAACCCAGGTAGAAATAAAACCTTAGTTTTGGAAGATTACTTAAGCATGACTGGAAGTGATTAACACTTAGAATTTCAAGACTTGTAGTGTGTCAGAAATCACTAATGGAGCAGTTTTAGGCTTATAGACTGATACAGGTACAAAGCCAAGAAACAGCCACATTTTTTTACCTTGGTACTGCCTTCTAAGCAAATCTGATGCTGGCAGAAAATGCACTTAAAACAATTCAGTAAATCTTTTCACAATTCTATTGTAGTTCTTGTTTTAGTCCACTGAAGTTTATACAGAGTTTCTAAAAAAAAAATTCTTAATGAGGCTGCCTTTCCTCTCTGTTTGCTTCATTCACAAAGAAACTTGACTCTTCTCCTTTTAAGGGTGAGCTGAAAGACCTTGCACTTTCCTGTTGCATAGAAGACATGATTGAACCCCTCTTTCTGAGCATTTCTGGAGAAGTGAAAGGATTGCACGTCACCTACTCATTACCTTGTTACAGTGGAGTTGCCAGGTAAATCAAGGGGTTACCCCTGAACTGAACAAAAATGACTTCTTCCCAACGCAAAAATACAATAGAGAGGGTGAAAAAGCGCCTTACCCACGTAAACTTCATTCCTCCTCCTGCTGTAGGCAGCAAGGACAGTGAAATGTGCTGGGACAATTCACTGAAGGTGCCTATGCGAAGAAAAGGTACTGGGTTTACACCCTGGCCAAATTTAGCGTTTTCATAAACCCAAGGGAAGACTGGAGAACAACACTACTCCACTCCCACCATTGTTTAGCTGAAACAAATTAAATGAGCAACTGTAAATTCATTAATTCATGAATAATAAATTGGTGTGAAGTTAACTGCACATTAGTGAAACTTATATTTACGTCTTGTGTCTGTTCTCCCTTGTGCTCCTGGCACTTGTAACCTGCCAGTTGCCTTGATGCTGTTGTGTATGGAGAGCATGAAAAATTACCTTTCTCTCTGGTAACCAAAATGTGGGACTTCTTCAGTCCCTCACATGTTTGTGAGTAACAACTATTTCCTGGAATGCCCAAAATTGGCAAATTCAATTCTTAGATGTGAATTTAGAATTACAGAATTATAGGCAAGATCCTGTATTTTGGACCATTAAATTTGCTGTTGCACTGATAAAGAGACATGATAAAGAAAGATGACTATACTTTTCTTTGACTTTGTATTTCTGACTGATACTTATTTTATTTTCTGATATGTAGCATGATTACTATCTTTTGGAATATGCTTGTCTTTATATATTTTTATACAAGTATAAATGGCTTTAATTTGGTAGGTTGGTATGTTACACATGATACAAATTCTACCCAAAATAAATCCTTATGTGGATAGGAGTGAAAAAAAGAAAAGTAAATGCTGATGACAAAAATAGTAGTCTGCATGGTCCTTTTACACTGGTCATCACAACCACATTGCGTATTACATGTTTTAAAATCTATTGAAATTATCTGTGGCATAAGAAAATAAGACTGATGTTTTAATACTAACCTAACTTTTTCTGCCAGTGATGAAAGACAAATGTTACAAAGCCCGTGTGATCTTCTTTTGGACTTTGGATCTGAAGTTGCATTCAAAGACATTGTAAAGCGTCAGCTAATTCTTACCAATCACACTGGAATCAGTGCTCCATTCAAACTAGAAGCTGAGTATTTCACTGGCTATTCACTTACTCCAGAACAAGAAATCTGCCTGTAAGTCTTGCTTTTCTGTATAATGACTCAAATAATAATTTAGGTCTGGATTAAATCTGAAATCAAGACAAAGTGCTATTGCCTCTGTCACGGGATACACTTTCTGCAGTGCTCTGGTGGGCTTTTTTTAAGCTCTTACTCTGACTGTGGTAATGAAATCTGTTGGTGAGGTTTCCTGCCGAAACAGATAGCTTGCAATGGAAGAACAGAAGATTTAGCGGGTGTAAGTGGCAGAACACTATTTCTGCCAATAGATATAGGTTGGTGTACACCAACCAAGGCTCTGTTGTGTTAGATTGTACGCAGTCTTACAGCTCTCAAGTTGATTGGCTCCTAAGGATGTTACTTTCAAAAAATGCTCTTTAGGCAGTCCTTCTTTAAGTTATAATGGATAGTAATTTAGGTGTCAGCTAGAGCTGTTACTTCAGCAGACTCCTGCTCATTTACAGAAACGTTGTTGTGATTTGTTTATTTTTTCAAGCTCCTCAAGCTACCTGGTGAAAAGAAGAGGGCCCATCACAAAACATGCAGCCAGAAAAGCACAGTCAGGTATGAGAATAGCTGTTAATCCCTGCTGTGGAGAGAAGCCAAAAGCCAGCTGACTACCATATTCGGCGTCAAATGCACCAGTCAGGCACATAATTTCATTCTTGGAGTATCTGGCTAAGTCTGCACTGTTAAATGACTTAGTTCCTTGGTTCATTCTTGAGTTTGAAATCTCAAATTGCATACGCATTAGATCAATCTCTCTCTGCTTCCTTTTTCCCCTCTCTCCTCCCCTTCTTTCTCTCTCCCCCTCCCTTTCTTTCTCTTTCCTCTTCTTTTTCTCGAAAGCAGCAGTCTGAAACAAAGATGGGTGGTACTGGTGATAGTTCACTCCCAGAATCACTCCTAGCACACAGTATGGATGACATGCATAACATTTGGCTATTTCCCTCCTACGCAGTCTTCCAATACCATTGCAGCAGGCTTTTCTCTGTCAAACCCTTTTATATACCCTCCCCACTGTGGAAAGCTACAGCACAGCCCATCCATCATTTCTGATGCATTGTACTGAAAAATAATAATATTTGGAGCCACATGAGACCCAGGGAGGGGGGAAATGGCAGCGAAATGCTGTAAAGCATGGATGTGTCTTCTGTATCCAAAATAAAACTTGGACATACTTGTACCTTGCCATAGTGTTTGGTATCTGTTACAACGGCAGAGCTTTTCAGCTGTTGAATTAGTACTTAAAATTGGAAAAATGCTGTTCTGACAGATTCCATGCAAGCTTATTGATTTAGAAGGCGAGGTGACTCAGAATGTGGAAAGGCTTTGCTCTTTGTAATTCATTCTTTGTGTTGAAGGTTAAAACAGGCAGCTGCTAATAGAAAGATAATCAGTTAGCGAAAATTCCAGCTTATTTTTCTCAAGTTGAGCGTGTGTTTTCATGTAGCCAGTTAGTGCCTTGCATATACCAAAGTGTCCTGGATCAGGTTGTTTGAAGGGAGTCCCTCTATGAAATAATCTCTGCAAGAATTAGCTCTCAAAAAATAGATTAAGGCCCCCTGTAGAAGGGAACTTGGGTAAAAGATATAAATGTGGGTTGGGTAAATGATCCCGGGTTTTTTTTGAAGTCAGTGAGGTTAGGCTGATTAACACCAGCTAAAAATATGGTCCTATATATTCTTTGGAAGACTAACATTGTTCCATTTCCTCAAAATTCATCAAATGCTTCTTTGCTATGTTCCTTCAGAGTTTGCAGCAGCAGTGCTGTCTCATGGGAAGGGAGTAGCTTTCCATATACAACCTTCCACAGGAACTCTTAAAGCCTTCCAGCAGCTAATCATAGAAATAACAGCTTACAACAACATGTGGGGAGAGTACCAGGATGATCTTGTCTGTGAGGTAGGTGGGGCTTCAGTTTCAAGTGAAGTATTGCTATGGTAGATTTTACACCAATTATATTTCCTAGATTCCTTCCTGTTAAAAATACATTTTCAATTTGTTAGGACTTCTGTAAAATATCAGGGTAGATATTGCTATACTGCTACCTCCAATGACATGTAAGGAACAATTGTTTACGCTTGAAGTGCGTGGTTTAGTTTTTGGGGTAACACGTTTATCCCCTGGGAGGTTTCCACGTGCTGACTGGAGCAGTTTTGATTTATAAAATCTGTTTGGTAGCTGGCCAGTAGAATACTCCGCTCTACCAATACAATATATTCCGTTGTATGGAAAAGCTGCAGGGAAGCTCATGAATGTATGAGGTATGACATTCTCCTGCTGAGAAGAGCTTTCATTAGTATATGAATTAGGTGCTGTCAAAAGAAACCAGTCAAAAATATTTGAAAATCCAATCAGTTTTCAGAATGTAATTTTGTAACCCTGAGAACTAAAGTTTCATCTTGATTCTAATAGCAAAAATTCATTTTTAATAGGTGGGAGACTTAAAACCTAAATTAATTCCTATGCAAATGACTGTGAAAGGCTGCCCAATCTTCCTGCAGATGACAGGACCACAAACAGAGCAACCCATAATCAGGTATAGCCCAAAATACTATAAGAGAAGTCAGACAATTAAATACCATTGGACTATAGCCAACATATGCACTTGTTCCCATCTTTTCATGATATAATGAGAAGGTCAGCAAAGTGACTGTCAAGGTGCAGTATCTGCTTCTGTAACACCAATACATGTGTCTCTGCCAGCATAATTAGACAAGAATCTGCATACACCTTCTCAGGTTTACCAGCAATCACCATTCTAGGCTTACAGTCATAGAAGTTCATCCAGTCTGGCCTTATCTGATCTGTGATGATCGAAACTGATACATGGTGGCAGTTCTCATCGTAATCTGCAGTTCATTTCTCCCCGTCCCTTTACCCAGACCAGGAGAAATGCAGCCCCGAGGTAAACAGGGGCAGGGGAAGGTTTAAGTCTTCCTATATGGGGAGTCACATCTGGGTGAGGGGTAAGGGTTGGTTTATGGGGGCTGGGGCAGTACACACTCGGCCAGCTGCTATACAGCACGGCTGCTTCTTTCTAACTTCAGAGGAATTAGCATCGTGTGTCATACTGCAGCCAAGAGCATTTGCAATGTCAGCTCTGTAATGGGCCGTAGAAAATGGATTTAGCTATCCACCATAAAAAAAAACTCCACTGCTGCTGCTGCCAGAGTCTTTCACAAAAGCTGACTTCACACGTTTGCCCTGAAACATCTGAGAAAATGAAGAAAACTGGAAAAAAAAAGACTGATTAAATAAAGCAATATTGTACTTCACAGTATAGACTATGTTAACCTGATGGTCACTCTTAACAGGCTGCCAGCGCAGCCAGATATGTTTCCATGTTTAAACAATTCTTTAATGGAAAATCATTTCAGACATTCACTTATTTTTTGCATGTACTGACAGCAAGATTTCCTCCCCCAGGTTTGGCACTCATGTCTCTGGAGGGTGTCCTGTCTTTCGGAAGGTCCGGCTTAACAATCCCACTCCCTTTGGTAAGACTGACTTTTGTACAGGAAACATCAACGCTTGCATCGCATTCTTTACAGTTATAAAAATAGAACCCATTAGCATGTTAATTAACTGACGTTCGTGTTTCCTAATCAGGGCATTCTTTGTTAAGAATAATAACTGTATACAAGAGAGCATCTAAGCTGTTTTCTAAATTGGTTACTACAGAACAATAGTACGTATTTTCAGGTCTTTATCTGCATAGTAGTCTTTATCATTATGGCATTACTGCCATGAATATTAGTTTGCTCTCTGCAACACTAAAGCATGTAATCTCCAGCCAGAGTGTAGTAGAATATATGTAATTGACTCAACGTTATTACTATGAAACGGCACATCCTATCCTGCTGTGTCTGGGTTTTCACTCACTGAAACGATGGGAATTGAGGATTTTCCATCCTGGTTTTGTGCATCTCTCACAGTGTTAGCCCCAGTCAATCAGATATGTTACCTGCTTCTTAGTGGCATCATCTGTCTCTTTTGTGTTCAGTCTTTTTATCTCTTGAGTGAGATTTTAAGCTCTTCAGAGCAAAAATCAGACACTTTTTTTTTCTGAATGCCACCAAACACCCTTTCTTAACAAACAAAATAGTTGTAATTCCTTTTAATGTTAATAAAAGTATAGTTTAGGCCCTAGAGAGCAGACAAGCTATAATAAGGTGATAGCACACATGGTTTTAAATCATTTTAGTTTACAGTAAACATGGAAAGCTTAAGATGTGTTTTAATACAAATCTGGTTGCTAGACACAAATTTGTTACTTGATATTCTGATTCTCCAGTACCAATTGAGCTATGAGTCTTTTCAATGACCGCAGGTAATTGTCCTTTCTCCTTTTCAATTCAGACATCCGCCTGGACTGGGAAATTTACAACCAAGAGCAAGACGATAAACAGCTGGTGGACCTGTTGATGTTCTTTGGAGACCCTTTTCCTCCTAAGGACATGGATGAAAATGAGACTGCATCAATTGGTAGCAACTCAGAGTCAGAGATCGTGTTAAAGTTGGATCAAACTGCCATTCCCTGCGGAAGCATTTATCCAGCTTCGCAAACCACAGATGAGGTCAGCTGTTACTCTGTTTTTTATACTGCTGCTGAGATACATGATGGGTTTCTTGGCATGAAAGTCTGAAAACAATAACATGCAATATAACTTGTAACTAAGAGCTGGATTGTTAAAAGAAATGTCAGTTCCTCTCACAGTCAAAAAAGCAATACATGGGTAGATGGCTATTGATATCAGCAATCAGCATCCGGAATGAGGTGTAAGCAAACAGCTCTTCAGCTTCTCCTTTTCTTAAAGTTGGTAAAGAAGCTGATCCGATACTTCTTAAAATACTGTCATTGACAAACTAATGCCATTTTTGCATGAAAGCATTAAGATAACTAAAACTCCTCAATATGGATCTACTTTTCTCATGGGTGCTTTATGGTGTCGGTCTGTGTTGTAGTCAGGGAGCAGAATCTGACCTGTTAAGTTCAAATTGCAGCTAATGTTTTGGAGGTATTTATCCCAGTGCCAAACTTACATTGGTTACTCTGTTAGAATATGGTAACATCTATTATAGATGAAGTTTGATTATAATATGGCAATTTACTGTCTTGAAGGGCTGGGAGTAACAAGGAGAAGGTATCATACGGGATATGTTTAATTCTGTGGCAAAAGCTTTACAGAAAAGGTATTAAAATCACCTTTTCTCTGTTTCAGCTCGGAAGGCATAGTTGTTTTGAGTACACCTCTAAACTTTCTTGTGCAACAAGGGAAAGTTATTGCCCTAGAGTGCTGGTTTGTATAATGGGCCAGAGATGTTATGGTTGAGCGCTTCTCGTGGCAGAACAAGACGCAAGCATGCACTTTTCCCAAGGGGTTTGGGAGCAGTTTCAGGAGAGCAAACCTATGCATGAAAAAATTCACGTACAGGACACATCCACATGTCCAGCTTTTGTGCCAGAAAGAAAGAAACTGAAGCTGGCCATACAGCAGTTCCCTGTACACTTCACTTGCATTCCTCCTTTACTGCGTAAGAGTTTTAACCATTCCCCGCCCTTGTGTCCCTGCAGTCTTCAGACACCAACAGTGAAGAGGAGGAAATCATCACTCAAGAACCTACAATACAGAAAATTGTCTCTGTACTTATACGACCTCATGAAGGGGTTCCTGCAGACAACCCCTACTCCATTACTCCGAGACAGATAGTAAGCTTTTACATTTTCTTTGTGCTTAGATTTAGAATATTTTCTGCAGGACAGAGGAGACAGAGGAGGAGGAGGTAGGTTTGGTTTGGGGTAGAGACTACCAAACAGTGAAACAGTAGGCTGGGAGGCTTTGGGATGTTGAAGATGACCATAAGAAAAGTTTGCTAAGTCAACAGAAAAAAGAAAGTGTCTTACCTACATTTGAGCAGTTAACTGATGACTGGAATTCAGTGTTCAGTTGTACTAGGCCCTCTAGAGTGGCATCTCTGGTCTTCCCACTTGGGTTTCCTCAGTGAAGTGTGCGGTGGTAGGTGGGAGGCATCCAGCCTGGAGCTTTGGAAGCATGTTATTTAACCAGGGTAGATTTGCGAAGTAGACCTGGCAGAATTGGAAAGCCGGCTGCCAGGAAAGGAGTGCTCTGTAAAGAACTCTTCAGAATAAACAGTTGTAACCCACAGTACTTCAAAAGTAACTGGTGCAAACCGGAGTCACAGCGTCAAAATTCCTTAGGACTAAGATAAAGCAAAGACAGCACTGGAAAGATCTAACTATGAGTGACAGGATCGCCTAAAACATCAGTGTGTCAATTTTGATTCTTAAATCAAGTTTTTTGCCAAAGGGTTTCAGTTACAAGTTAGAACGAGCTGAAGATTACATAAAAGAAATCAGTACAGAAATGGCATCTCAGAGCAATGAAGCCTCCAGTCAGCTCGGGGGGACTGAGGCTGAGAGAGCTCCGATAAACAAGTGCCGCTTTGTGGAGGCAGCTTCTGTTGGGTGTAGCCAGCAGCGAGCTCGGCCCATGTGGAATGGAGATGATGCCTATGGAGCCATTCAGGTATTGCTCTGCAGAAATGGTGTCCGTGTTTCTGCTGTGATTCCAGGAAGGTCTGTTGGCTCAGGTTTTGTGCAGCACAGCTGGCCAGACCTGGCTTAAGTCCATGGCTGAGCAACTAAGTTCTCTATGACCACAGTGCACAGACCCTGCAGTGTTGTAGGACATGAGCGACTTTTTACGAGGGCATGTAGTGATAGGACAAGGGGGAATGGCTTCAAACTGGAAGAGGGAAGATTTAGATTAGATATTAGGAAGAAATTTTTCACTTTGAGGGTGGTGTGACACTGGCACAGGTTGCCCAGAGAAGCTCTGGATGCCCCATCCCTGGAAGTGTTCAAGGCCAGGCTGGACGGGGCTTTGAGCTACCTGGTGTAGTGGGAGCTGTCCCTGCCCATGGCAGGGGGGGTGGAACTCGATGATCTTTGAGGTCCCTTCCAACCTAAACCTATGATTCTATGATAGAGCTTACTAGCTCTCCTCTGGCCCTGCTAGACCTTAGGCAGAGCCTTCTTATGCTCCTCACCACTCTGAGCAGGGGAACGCGGTGCAAGGATAGCTGAGCTAGTTTTGCTTCTACAGAACTTAGGTACAGCAAGACCAAACATCTCACCCTGTGATCACATGAAATCAGGGAGTTTGCATCTGCACAGCACTAGCCTGAAAGCAGTACATGCCACATGGCCCCTGAGCTTCCAAACTCGGCTAGATGTGAATTGGCTCTGTAGAGAGCTGGCAAAGGTTTTTCTGCGGCAATAGCAGGATTTAATCATAACCTGCATAATGCACTGAAAGAAAGCAGAATCTAGCCAACCTGTAAATCCCAGAAAATCAACTGTGGTTGGCCAGTGCATTTGATTACATTCTCTGCTGTCCTGTAAAATAAAAAAAATAGCCAAGAGTAAACTGAACTGTAAAATACTCTTAATTCACACTTGCAACTCTTCAAAAAATGTTTCTTGTATCTGTGAGTGCTGTCAGTTGTGGGAGAATCATCTGAGTTAGCCATGAAGTAAGAGTGGCCAGAACTGGAGATTTTTAAAAACAAACAGGTATGTACATCTGTTTGTGTACTAACGGAGTTGGTCTGTGACTGTGCTTAAACTGTGTTGATGCTAAAGTGTGGCTACACTGACATTTGCAGCTGAAATAATTAAGTCAGTTTTGTTGTCGCATGTTGTCATTTCAGTGCAAGCCTGAGCGTAGCCCATCCCCAGGAGATTTCATGCTGCTTATGCAACTCGTTTTTAGCAGCTGGGCACTGAGGATGCTTGTGCAATCCCAGGCAGCTCCCTGCGCTGCTAAACGCTTGTCTCCCAACTGCAGGTGGTTCCAGGAGGTGGCAGCATCTCCGTTTGCATCTCCTTCACCCCACGCGTCCTGCCAGAGGCCGTGCCTGAAGTGCAGTGTGAAGGGTTTGTGCTGGGTTTCATGAACCTAGACCACGAGGTAAACTGACCATCGCAGCAAGTCTGAAGATGACTAGAAAATAATCGTTTCCCTTCCTGTAATTTATGTACAGGCTGCCGTGTACCTGGCCAGTCTGTATAAACAGTCCTGTTCCTGCTACCCTGTACATCCTTCCTTAACCAGGGTTGTTCATTTGTTGCATTTGTCTTTTAGTTTGGAAGCATTCAGGGGTGGGAATGCCGCCGTCTTCTTACATTGTCTGGCGCAGTAGACCCCACACAAAAGCCCAGAGTTTAAAACACTATCACAACATCAGGTTTTATTGATAACAATAGTTAACAATGGGACCGAGACTCAGGACTGCTGAGTTCTGTTCCTGGCTCTGCATCCACCTTCCTGTGTGAATTTGCACAGCATATCTCTCCTCTGGGAAACTTCCTCTTCAACAACTGCAAGTGCAGCTCACAGGCTAATGTGAGGCTTGAATAGTGTTTTATGAATTACTCTGCTACTCTCCGACATGAATCATTGCAAAGGTGCAAAGTATAATGAATGAAAGATAACAGAATATTTAATAAAAACTTCCCTAATGTTCCTGACTCGTCAAGGAAGAAACCTCTGCATCTGTATTAACCACAGCCATCTGGAGTTTAACTATTGCTTAGCTTTTGCTGTTCCTTGTGTGTTACCATCATGTCAACATCGTTACAAACGGGCAATACATTGTCAAGGAGAATCCCTTTTTGGCTAACAGCCTCTCGGGCTAAAAGTAGGTGTTCAGGTTTTAGTGCCATCATTTTATACATCATTCCTCTTTTCGTTTTGTTGTCAGTTTGCAAAGACAGTGCCTAACAAAGTGCGTCGCAGAGATGGCTATGAAGCTCCACAGTTACGAATAGACTTAGAAGCTTTTGTAAGGTGTGCTCTGTAAGTACCATCGCGCTGAGGGCTGCTGCGCTCGCAGAATGAATCAGCCCAGAGGGAAGGGCTCTGACCAGCTCTGATTCTTTACACTCAGGTTAAAGGTAGACATGGATCATGATGGAGGAATGGTGTTTTATTCGATGGCAAGTGATCTTATACCAGATCAGCCTCTTTTGGGGGTAAGTATTTCACGCATTGATGTATTCAGCTGGTTTGTACTGCTGTGCAACTGTAAGAATTCAGAGCTGTATGCACATGTAGGTTTTAAAATGCATTTTTATTACCGGTAGCCTCCTGTTGCAATTTTCTATATTGCACATACCAAGGTAGGTAAAACAAAAGGACAACAAGTACTTATTAGCCAGGAACAAGCAAAGCTGAGCTCACGCGTCTTTCTCTTTTTTTTGTAGAAGAGTTCATAAGTAGAAAAATAAGTACTTATTTTCAGGACATAAAGGTCTGATAGCAGCATGAGTCACTTAAAGCAGTGCGGTCAGTTTCTGTGACCCTCGACATTCAAAGACTTTTAAACTTTATTACATTATTTGTATTTTGGTTTTTTACTCAAGAAATTTTGAAAAACACAAGCAGAAAATACTGGCTTGCTCTGGGGTAAAGTCCTTCAGATCCCTGGTGGTGCTGAATGACCAGACAGACTATCACAAACCTCTCAAGGGAGTTAAAACTAACCAGTTTTGAATCATTTCTCCACCAGGTTTTGACAGATTCGGTAATGACTCAGAGTTTGAAACTCATCAATTGCACTAAGGTTCCTCTGTACTTCAGGCTCCTTCTGTCTACGCCCTTCAGCCTGTCCAGCACAGATCCCAAAAAGAGCACTAAAACATCCCACAGCAAGAAGGAGGAAAAAGAACAGCAACCGCAACTTGTACTTTATCCACAGCAAAACATGCTGGTAGGCTCAAAAATAATAATCCTGTGCCAGAATAGATAGTTTAGTAATTGGTGTGTTAGCGTGGTCCAGATGAACCGCAAGAAAAACACAACCAGTATAGAAATAATCCTATTTCAGGGGAAATAGTGGTATATTAGCGAATGCTAATTACTGCCATTTTGCCTGCTATATTGCAAGTACAAAATATTTTTCTACAATGGCCCTGCTGTGCTTGTCTCATCAACTCTGACCTGTTGCAAACTCCTGCAGCAAACCCTGTGGTTTTTGGAGCTCACCTAAATCGACAGCCATACATATATATATATGCTGGACAAATTAGAAGACTTCCAAAGACTGCAGTCCTTCATTTCCTTAAATTAGATGCAGGCAGAGAAAATTTGGTTCATTTTGGGTGTACACAATGACATTACAGGAAACAAAGTCCTGGAGTCAAGAATTAGCTAGGGTGCAAAGAATGAATAACATTTGCGTTTTTGAAGTGTGCTTCTCATTTTTCAGTGTTCTTTTTGATATGAGACACACGTGTCTTAATTCTGCCTGTGCAGGAGGAAAGCAGACTTAGATTTTTAAGTCAGCTTTGGGAATATGGTATTGGTAACCTCGGGAATTTAGAACCTTTGTCTCACTAGAGACTCTCTCCTGTGGTTCAGAGATCAGCTGTTCACCTTTACACTTCATCTCTGTGTACTGGATTCATAGGAAATAGCTGTGCTTTTTCTTTAATTATAATGCTTTGTTCCAGTGGGAATTTAGTTGCTGACATGACACCTTTGGGTTCCAGTGGGAAAATGTGCGCCTGGGCCTTTGAGCAGTGTTTACTTTGGATTTCCTGCACACAGTGTCTTCTTATGTGATGGTCATCTGAATTCCTCTTCCCACAGGTGAAAGTGTCGTTCCACACAACTCTGGAGTTACTTACATATCAACATTTGCCAGATACCCAGCTGCTTCCTGGATTCCAAGTGCTCCAGTTTGAGAATGGAGAGAGAAAGCTGAAGTTTAGTCAAAATCTGGTCATTGAACATAGTAACCACACTACCCAGGTAAGATCAGAACGAGATCTCTGGGCTCTGAGAAAGGGCTGTGTTTTATCAGCACCTCTGACTCAGGGTGAATGTGCCTTAGGATTTACTCGGCTTTGAAATACAGCCACCTCTTGAGTAAATCGTGTCATCCAGTTAAAGTGAATGGCCATGAATTTTCAAAAAGAGATAGCTCTGAAATTACAGCCACCTCTGGAGTCTCTATTGAGACTGCAGGTGACTCTCAAATGGACAGAGCGGTTTTGGGTCAGGAGCCTGGTGCTCGTACCCCAGCTCTTTGCACAGCGTGACAGCCTGGATGACACGGCTCGATCAAAGGGCAGCACGCTCCATGGCACTATGACTCTTAATGCCCTTCTGAGACATGGGGTCAGGACTGTCTCAGCGAACATGCCAGCGATTGAGTCACCGAGCACTGCCTCCTGCAGTACCCGAGGGCTTCTTGAAAGTTTCTTGAGTCCGTCTAAGTCATATGGTGCGGTCACAGCCCACACACATTTAAAGACCAATCTCTTCCAGATGGAAAGCTGTAAACCCACCACCACCACCAAGTCTTCAGCAGTTCTAGTACACTGCGGGCATATTTTTTTTCATCCCAGGTATTTCTGAGGACTGATCTGGGTAAGATCCAAGCGCCATATCTAAGATACCGTCACTCTAATAATAATCTTGGGCAATCTGCACAAACTGAATGACTCACAGTGGGCCATATACAGTCCTAAGGGACGACGAGATGCTGTAATGTCTGCATCTCCACAGAAAACCCTAATAACAAATCAGAATGTTCACTCAGTGTTACTTCATTACGACCACAGTGTCTGGTTTGAAAACCTATCCCAAACCAGTAAAACAAGCAACAATGTAATTCACTCAAAGCTGTAGAATGGGGAATTGACTCTATTACAAACGAACGCAGAACAACTAAGTGCTTGAGGTAAGAATGATCCAGTTGTAGCAGATACTATTAAAGCCCTACCAAAATAAGGTGGGTTTTCTTCCCCGTTCCCTTTCCTCTGTTTTGCAGCTGGTCCCAGTGACTGCATACCTCACTGTTCCAGTTCTGGAGCTCTCTTGCAACACGGTGGATTTCAAGACCTGCTTTGTTGCACAGACCAAGACTGAACATGTCTTCTTGTGCAACAGGAGTGGCTGCAGAAGTTACTGGACTGCTTTGCTGGGTATTCTGGTTTTGCAATTGGATACCCTTGTTATATAGTTTCACTATTCAGTGTTTTTCTTTAGGAAGACTGCACACGCTCACTCAATATATAGAAAATATATGATCATGTCGGCGGCAAACATATCAGGTCTGCTTCTGTTCTCAAGTGGGCTTTTTTTTTTCTTTTTTTTTTTTTTTTTTGACATCAGTGTATTGCTACTGGTTTCAGCAGTTACTCCAGGTTTAACCAAAAGATTGAAGCACAACCCTCACAGGTGGTGGACCTGCTTTGCTCATTTTTAATACAAATCCTCAGAGGCAACAAGCAGCGGCAGCTTCTCATGAATTCAGTTTGAGCTGGTGCCTAATGATGTTAACAACAGGTGGACTTCAAAGGAAAGATGATCAGGGCCTTGTTATTTTGACGTGGAGGCCATGATCACTCCCCTGGATTAGAGGATGAAAACAGAAACCAGCCACACGTGTAGAAAGCCTCTGATAGTGCAAGACATAATTTATTAGTTGGCTAGTGAGGAGGCGCATTGTCTTAAGTGCTACATGTTGTACAACTTATACAAAGGGTCTCGTATTGGTTTGTTTGATATTTTCCCCCTCTACTGCAGATGAACAGGAAAGACGTAATGACCCGGAAGTATTTTCTGTCTCCCCTACTAATGGCATTTTGGAGGCACGTGAAGGGGACGCACCTACCAAAGAGATTTTGCAGATCAGCTTTACTGCAAGGTACAGTTAACAGGACTGAAATCTTGCTCTTATTCCCTGTCAAGCCCAGACTTACGGTGGGAGTAGTCACCGAAAGCAGAGAGTAACTCTGCTCTGTTCTTGCGTTATCAGGCTGCTCGTTTTGCTTCTAATACTTGCCAGTCTTGGCCTTCCAGCTGGCATGTTTTCCATATAGCCATGTTCCTTACACTGCTCCCTTATATGGGATTTCTTTTGGAATTGGCACCCAGAATTTCAGACTTTAGATTCAGCCACTCGAAATTATGCTGTTCCAGCAATTGGCATGACACACCGACTATGTACCGCAGGATAAAATCCCTTTCTTTAAGGCAGTGTCTTCAACAGTAAACAGTGCAGGGGCTGATACAACAGTCGAGACCTTTATGCATCCAGCACTGTATTAGGACAGAGGGAGAAATGTGTCTGGAGTAGTTCAGAATTCCAGTAAAGCAGCTGTTTGGCATGCAGGAAAGAGCAATGTCTTTTGCAGACACGCGTTCAAGAGTTTCTCCTGATGAAGCAGATAGAGCAAAATGTTATTCCAGTGCAGTGATACAATTTGTTTTACCCTCACTTAGCCTGGTGCAATGTTCAGCATAACAGTCACGTTGATGTAAAAAAATCAATGCATTTCGTTGCCTCTAAATGTTTTCTACACTACACAACAAAGATAATGTGAGCTGCAGGCTCAGATGACAGCAAAGAACAGAAGAAACTAGATGAAAATTACTTTCTTTTTCCTATAAACATCTACTATTGTCCTAGTTATGTTTATGAACATCTTATGATAACCTTTTGTCAAGGCTAGAAATTAGTTGCGAATGGAAGAGGCAACGACCCAAAGCCTTTAATGTCTTTGCTCTAATTAGGGAGATGCAACTCGTGTAGAAAAATTCAGCTTCCACTACAAACTATTTTCTTGGAAGTTATCACATGGTGGCAGAAAGTTTAAGACAGACAAGCCTGTCCCAGTGATTTTGGCTGACAGGGATGTTTCAAGAAGCAAACTACAGCTGACACGTTACTGTCCAACTTTGGGCTCCCTGGAAGACGCCTTGAGATCACAATCGCTGGAGCCACTGAAATCTCCATCGGATGAGGCTTTAAGCAGCTGCTCTAAGCTGTCCCCGCACAGGTCAGCGTGGTGAACCAGAGACCTCCCCAGGCTCCTGCCCGCCTGAGTTTTTCTGGAGTGATTGTGAATATGCCTGAAGCGCTTCTTTTTGTCTGACAGATACACTAATTAGCATGCCTGAAAGTACCAGAAAGCAAAGATGCTGCTGTCTAAGCAGCCAGCTCGTCTGTTCAGCTCCAGATGAAGAATTCCCAACACAGCAGAGCTCAGGATTGACATGGCATTAGTAAATAACAATATGCAAGGTGTGAGGTGCCCTAAAGCAGTGGTCTTCCTGCAGGGAAATTTTGTATGAGGAGGAAAAAAATAAAAGTTGTCTGGCAGAACAGGCTCTTGCCTCAGGCCCTTACAACAGCCGTCCCTTAGACACAGAGAAGCCCTTCAGACGCAGAGTCTCAGGAGTGCTGGGCAGCGTTAGCCGCAGGCGAGTTATGCTGCAAGACTTCTACTTAGCACAAGGGATACCACTACACATGCTGTTAAGCTTTTTAATGTTAATTTACAACCTGGACTCCGTTGACTGCCCCTTGTCTTAGGGGAGTTGACAGAAACTTTTGTGAAACTGTCACAGGATGAGTTTTCACATCAAGGCAGTGCGGGCATTTGCTCCCAAACACTGGCCCCCAGCAGGGCTTCGTTTTATTTATTTAACTAAAACAGAATTTCACAAGTAGGAAGGCACTCAAATTCTTCTTTCAAACATGAAGTTAATAATCCAGTATCTGTCCTTCAGGTACAGACTGGGTCATTCTTTTCAAACATCCCCTACGTAGCTGTGGGACGTGATGCTATAAAGTGAGATTGCCACCCGCTGACTCCACACTAACGTTAGAGACCAGTGCTTGTGACTAGGAGCAGACTGTCTTAGGCCACCATTCTCCCCTTTTTCCTCCACAAAGTAACTAATCTCACCCTTAAACACAGAATTGCATCTAACTGTAACTGACCTGTCTTTTCCCTCTGCATTTTAGGAGTGACATGGAATATGAGACCACTGTGACCATTACCGGAATGCTGGGAGAGAAGCCTTGCAAGCTACACATCAGGGGACGAGGAACATACGACGGGAAGTACGAAGACCTGTATTTAATTTAAGCAAGACAACGTGGGACATGTCAAGGTAACGGGTTGGATGCAGATGTGCCATCAGCTGAGTCTGTGTTTTCATCTACTTCAGTTATTTTAATATGGACTGGAATTTTAGCAGAATGAAATTTTAAGTTATGAGGAAAAAAAGCTCATGGTACTTTAAAGGAAACAGTCATAATCTCATTCTGTGCTCTTACTTTTATTGCTGTGATAAGCTTACCATTACCCACAGAACCAGGCTCTGCAAAATAATCGGTTTTAAATCGCAAAGCAGCTATGGTAACAGCTAGGCCAAAACCCTTTGCGTATCACAGTCTGCCTCAAATTACAATTAAAGACTGTTCTTACCTTAAAAAGCAGCTTTTGTTTTCCCTTGTTTATTTGTTTGACATTAAAATGGACATTGACACATAATAAAAGCAAGAATTAGTGAACAGGCCAGCATTGCCCTGGCTGTTTTCTCAGTGCTTTAGATGAAAAGGGGAAGAGCCAACTTTCCCTGGAAAACTACCAACCTGCATGTTTCATCATGCCTGGGTATTGAGAACATCCCCTTCAGCTAAGAGGGAGGAACCTTCTGCCTTTTAATTCTTTCCCCCACATGGTTCCCATTTACTCACACTTCTCTTTAAATGTTTTTAGTATTACTTTAGCTAAAGGTCACTGAAATTCCCACTTGTGAGCCTGTTAAGTTTTCCACTCCCATCATATAAAAGGTTTTTGTTAAAGGCAGTGTGTGTGGGGAGGAGGCAGCTGCAATCCACACCAGAGAACAAACGATGCACGACAGCTGCCTTCTGCCTAGTTTAAAACAGACCTGTACTAGCACTGGGAACACCTTATACACAGGAACCTCAGTGTGAAAAAAATGACCCTCAAAAGATGCTAACGCTCCTCTAAATAATTTAATCTTTTTTTGCTTTAAAATACAGCATGTGTGATTGCCTAGTGAGTGAGACAGGCTACAGAACGAGAATGTGAGAATATAAATATCTCTCTCTAGCTAATCATGACCTTCAACTAGCAATCATCAAAAAAAAACCCCAAACAATTGTATTATTAAGTGCCAAAATAAGAGCCAGGACAAAGAACTTCCGTCTGTGTTACAAATTTAAACTTTTCTAACATGTCAAAGACGATAAGCACATTTCTTGTTCAAGCTTCTGAGTTCAGTGATCTGATGATTCCTCATAAGAGGAAGAACAGATAAGGAAGACAGATACAGGATGAAACATATATCTCGCTGATGTTCACGTAGCGCTTACAGAAAGAATAATGCTGAAATCTCTTTTATGTTAGGTAAGTAAATATTATTAAGTATAAGCTTGTCTTCTAAGTTAGAGTCACATAAGCTGATCATCAGAGACGTGTTGTAAAAGGTGGAATGGCCTCTTTCAAATTCCTTTTCCTAGCAAATCATCAAAACCTTTCTGTTCAGGCACCTCAACAGTTTGTTTGCTCCCGAGTAAATTACCTTCCAGTCTTTCCACTTTCCCCCACCAGAGGCTTCAGAGCAGCTTGGTTAAAAATAGAAAGCTACAGCACATCCTCCAGCTGGGGGACAACTTAGGACATAACCAACTTCGGACCCGGACAGGACAGATGTAGTTGTGAAGGTGCTGAGTCTCTGCACTGCTTTCAAAATGAGCTGTTCTAGACTTCCTGCAAGATGCTGAAATATTTTAAGAAAACCCTGGAAAAGCCTTTTCATGTGCACTGTCGTTTTCATTTTGAGCAACCGCTTTAGACAATTTGTCATACAAAAATACTGCACCATGAATTACTTCTCTCTGATACTATTCACAGAATAAAGGGATCAATTAGATTAGAAATATTCACTCATAATCACCACACAAGGGCCTGTAGTTGAACTTCAGCTGAACTCATTTCTCTCCTCATGTCAGGATGCTTTTTAAGCAAATGCCAGTTTTACGTTTTCCCACCTGCTTAATAGATCTGTACGGTTTATTCTGCTTCTCAATTTGTGCCTACAATTTGTAGATCTAGTAACGAATCCCTGAATCCACTTGATTTCACAGTGCAAATCATTTGCTATTACTAGCGAAGGCAGAGGATTAGCTGATGTGTAGTTTTATCAGTACGCTGGAGTTTAGTTCCCTGGGTACTCAAATACTGCTGCAGCGCCCATGCCAGTTCCAATGCACATTGATACAACACCGTATGCTCTGAAATGAAAGAACACATGGAAATAAGAAAAAGATAGATCAGGTTTAGATCATCTGGGGAAGAAAAAAAAAAAAAGAATAAATTTGAGCTACCCACTGCTCTCCTGCTGTGCGTCACCAAGAAATTCTAACTCTGGAGCAGGTCCTGGTGCCCTGGAGTTTTTGCAGGGAGTTGTTTGCAGAGCATGTGGACACGTGTTCCTCTGGCTGCTTTCTGGACAGGAGCAGCGCACCAGAAGCAAGCTCACCTTGGCCACCTGCCTCAGACATACTAGCAGTGAGGTCAAGCCAGAACTGCTTTGATTCAGATGGGTTGAGGAAGAAACTCTTCCCTTCCTGCCTCCTACTGCTGCCCTTCACATGGCTTCGCTATACAGAAGTTCAAGGTAAATTTGGATAGTCAGATGATGTGCAGTAGGATTTGTGGTAAAACAGAGCAGAAAGCCCGATTTCAGAGGAAATTCTTCCACTTCAGTCTGAGGTGGTTTATTGTTACTGCCTGATTTGCTTGGCGTTTAACAGCTCGCCATCACTGTTACCCTCTCCTCCAGCCCAGGGCAGAGCTCACCCCAAGGGGCAGTGCAGGGACACTGGATGTGCCAGCCCCCAAGGCAGTGGTGACAGAGTCAGCCAGCAGCAGCGACCGGGTTCCTTCCACACGTCAGGAAGAGCCCGAGCCCTGGGACAAAACTGTCACAAAGCTGAATGCAGCGCAGCCTTGCAGAGCCGCCAGACCACCACTTCTGACACCTGACTTGCTGCTCTAATGCTGCATGGCAGAGCTGTCTACTCCAGGGACCCGCACCACCACAGACCAGGAGAGACTCTACCATCCATGTGCAGCAACACATTACACAGTCCTCCGTGAAGAGAACCATTGGGAATTCATGTTCAAAGCTAGCAAAGGGGTGGAGAAAGCCTGACCCAACCTGATGGTTACTTCTGAGCCTACGTTCCTTACATACACGTAAGGCATTAAGGCTAATACCGTTCCTCAGCGCTCACCTTTTCCCTCTGCGCTTCAATTCATTGAGCAATGTGACGACTTGACGAGCACCAGTACAGCCCAGTGGGTGCCCCAGTGCTATTGCTCCTCCCAGGGGGTTGACTTTCTCCATGGGAATACCCAGCTTTTCAACACAGTACACAGCCTAAAAGAAAGAGAATGGTTTCGTGGCAATGCTCTTACCTCCGTTAGCTCTCAGCTGTCCTGCGAGAGCTAAGAGGACTGGAGAGAAAACTGGTGATCTCGTCCACACATAAACAGGAACAGCAAACCACCCCAGGAAGCTCAAGAGATTCGTGCTCAAAATGAATTTAGTTCAAACTATTTTTGTTACTACACAAACTCCACATCATCGTGTCAGTTGCTTTTCGAGTATTAAACAGTTAGTACTTGGAGGCCTGACTCCAGCTAGACCGTGTTTCCCAGTGGAACTGGGAGTGGAACTGCATTACAGATGCAAAGCAAAAAGTGAGCTAAACCTATCAACTTCATCTCAAACTGAGCCCACATACTTCCTGACAGGAATGTCATAAGTTTGTGAAAGGCAGTACTGAAGTTTCTTTTATTAAGGACCTCCAAATTGGTAAGTGCAACACACTGACATTGACACCACCCGATAACAAATTACAGCCCTTGCGAAACAGAAATTTTGCAAGTTGGTATAAGGATAAGATAGTGAAGATTACATTCTTATACAGTGGGCATATTTTTCTGTTGTTTCGGGTTTTTTTTAATATTAAGCTGTATAAGCAATCCCTGCTTATTTTTATTTGAAGGAAAGGGAAAACAGTCTGTGCATGTTATTAACATTTGGCTGAAGAGGTAATATGTGGAACAAGTTCAAATCTTCACTCGGAGACCAAGCTGAAACACACTCAGTTACCAAGTAATGCAGCAACTCAAACAGGACCATCACTCACCTGGCTTGCGAAGGCTTCGTTAATTTCATATATATCAATGTCATTCAGAGTCAGACCTACGGTTCAGAAAAGTTGGGATTTAAAGGGAGGTAGTTTTGCCTTGCGACTAAAGCAAAGAGAATAATTCATTTAAAGCCTCCCTTTATGAACTCTAGTTCTACTCCACTAATGACAATAAGAGGGGGACCTTGGCTCCCTGTGGAGTATCTACTCTTGTACGCCTGTTTATGTACAACAATGCCTAAAGACCATAAAATGTCACAGTCCATGGTATTGCATCACTGAGTTTGCCAAGTTTCCTTAGATGAAATGTGACTTTTTTGCAAAGGGATTAAATATTGAAGGGTATTTCGAGACTGAAAGATAAAACTATAGGTGAGCCTACCACCACAACAATGACAGGAAGACACAACAATAATCATCAGCTATAAAAGCTATTTAACCTGATGGGTATGATATGGATCTCTTTTAAGGTTTTGAATTTAAGACCGCTATTCCTGTGGCTGATAGCTGCACGTGCTAGAATAAAAGAATCTCAAATTTCAGTCCACAGAGTGTGATTTGCCTAGTGCTGAACACTGTATGAATGACAAGTAGTTCCTACCCGCCTTCTCCACAGCTACAGGGATCGCGTAGGCTGGTCCTATGCCCATAACGTCGGGGGGGACTCCAACCACAGCAAAGGACCTCAGCACCCCCAGGACCGGGAGTCCCAGTTGTGCTGCTTTCGAGCGTTTTGCCAGGAGAACAGCAGCTGCTCCATCACTGACCTGGCTGGCATTACCTGTTGGAAGAGATCGATTAACACCTTTTTTGCCTGAGCACGTTCTATTACAAGGCAGGTAAACCACAGGAACACCACAAACTTAACAACAGAGCTGACCTGCTGTAGTG